GCCTTATCACGGGCTCATATGAAGCTGTGCTTACTCATGCTTGCAAAGCATTTAAAGATTAGAGAGAGCAGCATCTGTAAAACCATAAAGAATGCTTTGTTATCATTACTATTTCACCAGAGCAATAGGGAAATTTGCTTTAAAAATGCTTCAGTTCGTTAGTTCATAACTATCTTTTAGCTGCTAAAAGCAAAAACCAGCAAGCTGCAAGGTAGCAGGTTCAGACTTCATTTGTCTCAATATAGGCCTATTTGTTTGCCTCTACTACAGGTGGTGATTATTTTTTACACTTTTCTTATTAAAAAGGTAAGAAGTAGATGCAGAGGTGAAGGTAAGAAGTAGATGTAAAGTAAAAGCAAATGAATCTGGGACTCATCCTGAAACATCTGTATCCTAAAATGTCACCCTCTAGCCCACATCCCAAGTTGATATCCTTCTCCCTGCATAAGCTTCTGGGGTCTCATTAATGCACCAGGCAAGTCTACACAGCAAAGGGCTGTTAGAGATCCTGAGCAGCTTTGAGGAAACTGGCTTTTCTACACGGTGCGTTGCAATGCCACGCACGGATGCTAGCTTAGATCCCAGAGGCAATGTAGCTGTGTCTGTATAGCAAAGCACCCACGCTAATTAGCCCTGCCCCTGAGGATGCTGCAGGAACAGAGCTAATTAGGTATGCTGAGAGGCACCTCTGTTAATTAGCCCAGGGAGAACAGAACAACACTAACAGAGCTTCCGATCATGGCATTGGCTCAGGGATCTCTATAGTGTATTTGGCTGTGTAGCATAGCTGAGCCCACAGCTCTCTTGAGCACCATCTGAAGAATCTAAATACCTTCTTTCAATCCAGTCTCACCATCTGACCCTGCTTTTGCAAGTATTCATAGCTGTTTTTCTCTTGATGGTAGGAAAATTAAGTAAATAGATTCAAAAGAATGAAGTTAAAAAAGCCAGTAAAAACCACACTACAATAATCTAGTGTTATTAAATTCAGCTACAGGCAGTGACATGCCTATAGGGAAGCACTGGATATTCCTAACCCATCTTGATAAAAGGCATTCTTTGGCTAGTGGTGCATGTTTTGCAAGCAGTGTATCTCTAAAGGTACTGTTAACTCAAGCCAACTCAGTTACAAACACAGACTATGATACATTGAGTTGTAGCCATGCAAGATTTTCCATTACTAGTTCAGGACTGAATGAAATCATTGAGGCACAGGTACACACCTAGGAAAGACGAGCAGTTTTGTCCCCTTTCCTTCTCCCCTGGCTGCACCATGCATCAGGACAGGGCTGTTCTGTCTGGTTCTCTGCCTGCAGCAGAGCCTGGCTTACCAAGGATCACTGTCCGTACCGTGCGCAGCACACACAAGGCTGCGCCAAGCACCGCACGCAGCTATGCCTCCAACTCCCAGGGTTGCTATACAACAGCACTGGGGTAAACAATGCCCTGTCTCCACTACAGCCAGCACAGACAGGAGGATGGTGATGTGACTATTGTTAAAGGAACACTTCCAAATGCCTTTCCAACCACCATATCATAGGTACACATAGAAACGCTGAGTTTATGCCTTTCAGAAAGAAAACGTGCGTGCTTTATGCCATTCCAGGAGGGGAGTTTATGGTTCTTATTCTTGAAAAATGGAGCACAGTGATTTCCAATTACCTTCCAGGCATGTTATAAAGGCACCCATTTCTTTCCCATATGTTTCAGAAGAATGTTTTTGCACATGGGTAACTTCTGAATAGGACAAAAGCCTTTAAGTCCCAGTTTGAGTTCTTGATCAAAATGCAAAAATGCATGGTGAAATTTTAAATCAGCTTCAAAACCTTATAACATGAAGCTGCTGGAACCATTGAGAAAGTCAAAATTTTTAAGTGGATATTAGGAAAACGTAAATACCAGAGAAGGCAGAGGTTTCTTCTGGAATTAATGTGGTTGCAGTAGAGAGAATACTTAGGTTTCTTCTAAAGATTGCTACATTTTAGGTACATAAAAGCAAAAAAACCATGGCTCTTATCTTTCAGTTTCCCAATAATTTGCTATTATGATATGAAGGTGGGGGAGGTGTATGTAATATTTCTGAAAATCAGAGTTCAGTATTTAATCTTTACTTCTTATCCTTTAGAAAAAAAAATCTTAAAAGTATGGTTTACGTAGCTTTATGATAATTGTCAAAATATTATAGTGTTCTACAGCATTTACTAATGCAAACTAAATCTCACGCAACCTTGACTTTATAACAGGGGTTCTGGATGTATACCAGACACACAAAATGGTCATTAACTTGATATGATATGAGAAAGGTGTTGAAGTGAATAACTTATATATTAGTAATAGTGGTTCTCTCCATGAACAATTTATCTTGCTTTTGAATGGCAAAAAAGATACTTTAACTTGCCTTGTCTCTGGGCAACTTTAGAGTGACCTAGAGTTTCAGTTTCAGAGTTCAAAACTGGCCCCTCCTTTTATACTTGGCTGGTGCTTAGACCAAAGCTGTAATGCATCACAGTGTCTCACAGAGACCTAAAAAAATAGAAGAGACTGAAATCCTAGGCAGGAGCATCCCGTAACTCTATAAAAGTCAATGCTGTGTCCCAAAATAATGAAAATACCTCGACTTTGTTTCCATCTGTATAAATAACTCAGATTTTCATCTTTACTGCCAGAACTTGGCTAATACCCTTCACTTTGTTCAGTTTTACATCCACCAACAACCATTTTCTCCACTTCTATCTATTCAAAACAAAACCTGAATCACAAAGGTTATCAATTCCCAAAACCTCTTGTGCACAGAGAGACTCACAAGGTCTCTGTCAATGAACAACAGCTAATCATTCATTCTCATTATACTGGCACATAAATCATCTGAGTGACCAGGGGAACCAGAAGCCTGCTACCCTCATAACATTCCTTGCATGCCTGCTGAAGGCGTTGTGTCTATACATTGCCCACGATTCCCAGAAATACAGAGTTAAGAATAATTCAAGATACGTAAGGACTAGGAAGGAAGGATAACCTGCACATAAACATTGTCAAGAATGCCTCAAAACTAATTGCTTGAGGTGGTTATGAAAATAAAGAAAAAAGCCTGTTATGCTTATCAGTCTTATTTCTCAGAGACTGACTGGCCTTAGCATAGTTTTACACATCATCAAAAAAAAAAAAGAAAAAGAAATTAGGTTAATACTAGAGCTTATCATTTTATTCAGTTTGAGAACCCTTAAAGACCTGCTAATGGAGGTGCTACATGGACAAGATTTTCACGTTTTTTGAGGTACCCTGCACTGACCTCTTCCAATCATCCACAGAAACTAGAGGTCCAGCCAACAACAAGCTTACATTCACAGAGATACAAAGTCATCTGTGAGACACGAAGGTCAATCAAGTAGCCAGAAGTGTGTCCAGGGTGTAAACATGGCATTTCGCAAAAACAGCATGGTCCAGATCTGCCTGACGTGTCCATACAGGCATGGCCAATGCCTTTTGTGCAAAAGGCCTAAGTGCCATTTCATGTGAAAAAGCATAAACATCTATCTGCCCTCCGAACTCCAAGAATTATAAATAGTTTGAGTGACAAATGCTTCTGTCACAGTGTTCGGGATACCTTCAAAAGATATTCCCAGCACTGTATATGACTAACCAAAGCCTGGCAGAGTTCACCCTTATAAATATATCCTGAATAAGCCTGTTGATTTGAACAAGAATTTGTGTGTCTGTGTCTAAAGGAAGAAGAGAAGAAGCAGGAAGGTTGGTCATGTCAGTCACTTGTGTAAATTTTTCGAGCTGACTGGTAGAGTTTATTATCTATGCTTTGACAGTAATAAGAGCATTGAATTCCTAAATGTTGTGTATTACGTTGCACAACAGGTTTTATCACAGAAAAACCAAGTAGTCTTGATGAATGAAGTTTCACATAGGTTACTGTTGAAAAAAAAATTAGACATTATTTGCATAGATTGCATTAAGTTGATTGTTTCCCACCCCTCCCAAGTACCTCAGTAGCTTGGAAATAAATTATAGTCAGAGGATTATTAAAATAAAATTTTTAAAAGTCCTGAAGTAAATTTCAAACCACAAGACAAAGCAAACAGTACCATAGTCTATTTTCAGATCTCCTCAAAGTTATTCATATTCTAGCTGTCAAACAATCATATGACTCCCAGACATTTTTTTTCCCTGAAATCCTGCTATGGAGTCTTCCACAGACACATTAAATTATTTCCTCTTCAATATGTCAAGAAAGAAGAAAGAAGCAACCATCCTTAAGTCACATGTGTTTCTCTTTTAGAAAAAGGGTCTCCACCGTTCAACAAGGCAAATAGTTCCCTGTAAATGAAGTCATGCTGAGATTTTTAAAGCACCTAGGATTAGGAAAGCAGTATTGGTAGCAATGTCATTGTCACACAAGCTAGAAATACTCCTTCTCACCCTGTTTTTTAATTCCAGCCTTCCTGGGACAGTGTTTCAACCTGTACAAACCAGATTCTTTGCTAAATTTACGACTGTGTTGAGAAACACGTCACTACAGAGGAGCACAAGGAAAGCTGTGTGAAATACTAAGGGTTTAAATGCCCTTTCAAAAATATTTGTTGTCATTTTGACCCAAGTGCAAGAAAAAGGGAGACGAAACATTTGCAATAGCAGCTTGCCTCAGTTGGTAGAACCTGAATATGGGATTTTGCCTGGTTTATTTTAAGTCTGAGCAGCTAGCAGCTGGAGTATGTCCCACATGCTAACACTTGGAATTCCCCAGGGAGAAGGTTTGTTTCAAATGTACACGCCAGCCTTCCAAAGCTGGTTGTCTTTGTGCTTTATTAAGTTTACGTACTCCATCCTTGCCTCAAGTCTCGATGGTAATGCACCTATTCTGAGCAAGTGAACATTCTTGCCAGCTTCATATGGACTGGTTTTGATTTAAATGCAATCTACAAACGATATCTACTTGCACACGCATACACACCCCAGGCAGATACTGAACAGACGCAGCCTTGCAGACTTACACAGCAGCTGTGACAACAACTGATGTCACCTCCTTTGCAGAAATTTCCACAAGCATCTTCCAAAGGCCAAGTTAAATGAGATAGAGCTTATCAGTTTCTTTAAAGTGCTCTGGATGAGACCAGTCCATGTGACCCCCTTCCTGGCCGCGGGGGTGTGGTATGTCACAGTTCCCCTATCAGCTGGCACATGGCGGTAGGAGATATGAGACAGCAGAAAAGTAGTAGTAACAACATCACCCAGCCTGCCGAAGACAGAGCGAATACGCTGAGTAACTTCAGTGCGTGCTCACTTACTTTCTGCAAACAGGTGGAGGGTGTTCAGCCCTGACTTCTGCTTGCACATCCCCCTCGGCACAGATGGGTGGTAATGTTGCCAGCTATGCTTTGGAAAGGCTATGGTTCGTTAGCGTTGTATTAACACCTCTAGCAGTGAGTTGCAATATTCTTTTTTTTTTTCCACAAACTTTCCCCTTCTTTTGGATATTCTGTGAACAAAAAAGAAATTACTAGCAAGGAGATTTTCCAAAAGCAATTGCTTAAGATAAATTCCCTGCCTTAGTTTTTATATAAAATAAAAAGATTAGAGAATTTCAGAAGATACCCTCCTCAACTTTACTGCTAAAACTACTGAATGTTTCAGGTTTCCTTCACTGCCTTTAATTATTATTAAATGATCAGTTGTAAAGAGTTCATTTTTAAAGCTTCTCACAATTATTATATTTATTCAAAATACCAACTAGCCAATAATATATTAACAGAAACAAATATGTAATATTTGCAAAACATCTCAATACCTCATGCTTGGTAGGACAAAAGGACTCCTTACTTGAAGTAATTTAAAAACATGCGATAGTATGGAATATTGAATTCAGCAGCTTGCAATTTTCACCCCAGGGCTCACCCAGTTTCTCTGCATGGGCCTGTTAGCACAGAGGACAGCCTTAAGCACTTACCCCAAGCTAGTTATCATATTTTGGTTAACAAATGTTGGTAATGCAATTTTTTCTTTGTGAATGTGCCCCTTCAGTGTCTGAATTCAAATTCTTGCACCAGCATAGTTACAGTCACCCTAGATCACTTGGGCATATCCCTTGTAAATCGGAAAAGCTATTGGTGCAAGACCAGCAGTTCAGAGCAAGACCAGCAGCACAACGTATAAATTCTGGGTCTAGCACAGCAGTGAAATATAGGAATACAGTATACATAAGTACTCAAGAATTTGTGGCAACAGCACCAACAGAAGCTGAAATTCAGTCTTATGCTCCATTCCTGAGCTACTTCTCCTAGCTCTGCTACTGAGTGTGGAATGACAAAAGATTGGGAATTTTAAATCAGATGTTTTTGTGGTTCTGCCAGATTGTTCCAATCTTACTGCAATCTCACATCTGTCAAGAATCTTCCTGACTTGTCTAGCCAGCTCACATTGGATTAAAAAAGCTACCTTGCCTTCACCCATTTCCTCTTTCAAAGTTAAGTGTCTGCAGATAGGAAAATAAGCTTTCTAGGGCACAGACAGCCTCTTCTATTTCAACTGTGGTGTACCTAGCTCAAAATTGTGGCTGGAACCTGGATGTTAATGTCACCTTAAATAATAATATTTTTTCAGGTGCTGGCCAGAGTTTTAAGAGATAGTTCCAGCAATGAGCATATCGGAGCAACAAAGACACAGCTGCTCAAAACAGCAGCGTGCAGTGGTTATATATGCAGTGAAAAAAGACCTCCTTCAAGGAAGCTATTGAAGACAGCTGCAGATCAGTCCTCCTCAGGGTTCATTAGCTTTTTTCATCTTCTGTAAACCAGCCCTGGGAATGACTTTAGAAGATGATTAAACCAAAAATTTGTGTGTCATTACACCCTCTTCAACTCCAGCTGCAACATTTTATCCGTGAAAGCTCCAGGATGCAAGATCCAGGATAGAAGCCTTCCTGTCTCTCTACTTCCTTGGCAAGCTGGTTACAATCTCTGCTTCCACCACCACCCATGTCTGAACTGTGATTGGTTAAGGACCCTTAATCCTTGCTGGAATTGTATAAACAGAAACATGGATTGCCAGCCACCTAAAATCTCTGGTGAGCCCTGGACTGTGACAGACAAAAGGCCTTTCAGTATTCTCCCCAGCAAGTCTTTCACAAAGGTAGAGTGAATTTTGTGCCCAAGTTCACTTCCTCTTTATGCTGTAGGGATGCTCTAAATGGTTCTGTTATGTGTAGGACAGATACATATTTATATGTAATCCTGACCATGCAGAGGGTGAGATGCCAGCTATGAATCAACAGAATTTACAAAGTTTTGCCAAAGGCACTCATAACTGTGAGTTGCACACATGGTTGCTTTAAGTGCTAAAAAAGGCTCTCCTCTCTTCACACCTGAAATATGGGTCCATAGCCCTTACACCTACAGCATTCACAAGCCAGTGCATGGTAGCCCAGGCACAGTGATTTTAAAGTTGTAATGCAAACACATGACCATAGATTCCACTCATAAAGGGCTATCTGTATTGCAATGTTTGAGACTTACAAGTGCAAACATAGCAGAGGCACTAAGGGCTTATGTGAAAAAATAATTATTCCATGTAGAAAGGAAGTTGGCTTGCTTTGAGCAGAGGTGTTAATAGACTAACCTTTTTCCCCAACACCAGCCTGCTTACCTGAAAATATGAAAACATCTACTGATGCAGCACTGTATTTATTTGAGGTGGGAATCATATCCCACTCATGTTAAATGTCTTGCTGCGTTTCACACTAAGATAGTCATTAATGGGAATACCAGTTATAAGAGTCATTTAATGAAAAATAAGCCCTGGACAACTGTGTTGCAATTTTAGTAATTTGGGGGCAGAGGCATGCAGATCATAGCACACAAATACAGCTAAATTTAAAAGAGTATCTTCAGAATAGACACCTTCCCCCCTTCCACCAGGTTCAGGATAGTTAATAAGAGCTGGATCTTGAATGACAGTACCAAAACAGGGACTTGGCAAAGAGAGGACTTGCTTCAGCTGAGAGATATGCCAGAGTACAGATAAAACCATCAGCAACTGGAACAGTGGAAAGGGTGGAAATACTACAAAGATCTATGGTAAAAAGCTATTTAGGTCCCTCTCAAAGGCAGCATCACTTTGTTACCTAAAAAAGATTCCTTCTTCTCCCCATCTCCAATATTTCAATTGCAGTCAATGGTAACTCCCAAGCAGTGGCAAAAGCAACAATACTTGCACAGACATGGCATTAGTAAATTAAACAGAGGTCCACTGGTTGCTCTAGCTGTGCCTGAGTAATGTTTCCCTAGTCACTCTTCTCCTTCCATTAGCAGAAATTAGTCTCCTCTGCCAGCATAAGCATGCACACAAGTAGGCTCGTAAACCTATCAAAAGGAGTCAGGGCTGAAAACTGGGAAGACAAAACTTACAGGAGTGTTTAAACTAAGCCAGACCCTACTGAGAGAACCAAGCATTATGCAGCTATACCTATGGGCTGGGTGGGATCTCAGGAACACTGAGGGTGTAGAACAATCTCCTCACCTGCTTTCCTTCCAGCTGGAACTGAAATAGGACAAGCTAGAAATCACTTCACTGACAGCAACACAAACGTGTCTAGGAGAGACAAGTGCTGTCAATGCAAAGTAGGCAACAGTGATGACCAAGGACTCTTGTACTCTCAGTATATCTCTTCTACCTGAGGGGAATGCAGGACTAGAATGGATGGGCAAGACCTAAAACTCTGCATCTCTTTCCTTCCAGTTTAAATATGTAGATGCTTCTTCTTCATTCTGAAGTTCTTTTGGATATGCTTTGAGTAGGGATAGGAAAGGATTGGCTTTGTTGTCTCAGATTGGATACGCCCTTCCTTACTTTCTTTTTTTTTTTTTTTCCAGCCTAAAGGGGTTTAGACAAGGGGTAGTTTCTAAGGTTGTTGAAAAGACATAAAGCTGCTAGGAGACTCAATGGAAGATGTGGCTTGCCAGATGCTAATCTGTGTGGCATGGGCTCCCCTGGACATCCACACCTCAGGAAGCCCTCCCATAAATCTTTCTCTCAGGACTCCATTATCCCTAGTGTTAGCATCTCTGCAATAAAATTAAGATCTGATAGAAGATCCAAATTAGAAAAGGGGGAAAATGGAGCTTACAGCATCTACCCCTGTCTACACAACTCTTACCTCTGCTTCTATTAATTGATCCATCTGCTTCCCAGACCTGGAACTGTCTGTACTCAAGGGAGGACCTTGCTTTTGCTCTAGTAGTGGAAATGGGCGTGCCTATTTGGGGGTGTTTGTGTTCTTAGGCGGAGGTTTATGTCCTCTAAAATAAGCAAGTTGCAAGGCTTCTTTATGGAGATGCACAATTTCTCACCAAGAGCCTGAGGCAGAGTATGCCAGGCCTTTTCATAAGATGTTGGAGTGCTAACACATGGTATGCATGGGCACCTTTTATATATATCACAAACACCTACTTGCCTGGAAGAAAATCAACAACTCCCTACACCAAAGCTTGCATTTGTTTGCTCTTATTAGAAGTGGAATGGTGCCTGAGGGAGGGCCATAGGCATTCCATTACTTAGGATCAGTGCCTGAGCAAAATGGAAAGGCTGCTAAAAATAAGCAACATTTGCTCATTGGTATAAATAACAAAAGCGAGAGAGAAAGAAAAACAGAAAGACAACAAGATGAAAATGAAAACTGGCCCCAGACCAGGCCTCGCAGAATGACCAGTCACCTCCTCATTGCCAATTCTCTCACCATCTCCACTATGGGCAAGATACTTTCCACTGCCAAGTGCCCTCAGCTTCTTTCCTGAGAGGACCATTACTTGCAGATTCACAATGGGCCTGAGCATAGAAGATATTCCCACAGCACCTCACAAAATACCACTGTGATCCCTGCAGTAGCTTGTGAGTATTTGTTCTATCTCTATTTTGTTTACTAAGGATATTATGGAGGGGGCTGAGAAAGGGAAAAAGCTGCACCTCCATAAGGCTATCATCATTAAAAACTTTATCCTCTCCTTATTAAAACAGAAATAACTTTTGGATTCCCATTTTTCCAACAGACTTCCGGGGCAAATAAGTCCCAGAGCACCCTTGGCTGCCTATTTTCAAGTACCAAGGTTGAGAAAGGTAAGCCTATCTATACTTGGAGGAAAATAAGAAGACCAAGCTAATTAAAAATTCACCTTTGCCCTGTATTCCTAAAAGCACTGCACACCCCCATGACACCAGATATTTCAGGGTGAGCTGTCTTTTTAGAGGAGAGTTTAAAGCAGAGTTTGCTTCTGGTTACTTTTCCTTTTAGTGTCTCTTTAATAAAAAGGAATAACAATTGGAAACAGCTCCCAAAGTAGCATACTCAATCTTTCTTCTGCTTCTATTTAATGAATTCTATTGTAATAAAGTGCACACACACACAAACCTATTAGCCCTACAATTAAACAAATAATGGCATTAACAACTC